ATTTGATTTGTGTGACAAAAATGTGCATCAAAATACTGCAAATACTTTAATTACACTCACAGCCTTTGATAAATGGAAATTATGCGTTTCTCCTGCCTTTTAAAGGTTGATAAGCCATCCTAAATATGTGTGATTACATGGTTAGTTGCATTTTAGGATTTGCATTTACCATTGTTTAGTCTGTTGTGTACGACCCTATTAGAACAGAACCCATTTTCTGGGTTGTGACCCACCGTTTGAGAAACACTACTCTGTATTGCATGTCGTAGTGTGATTATTCTGGATTTGTGATAATCCCCATACTGAGATCACGCCAGTCAAATGAATCCCATGGGATAACAATGTTGACTTCAGCTGTATCAACTGTTAAAAGCCAGGAGAGAATTTCACTTAAGCGCAAGAACCTTAATGATGTCCAAAGTTACTTTTTACACAGTCTGAATTGTGTAATTGATGGATAATGTTCTTATTTTGACACTGCGGCCTTTGTTGGGAAATTCACATTTTCAAACCTATCACAGATGGTGACACTGTTTTTGGCCACAATGTTATCACCCAGACAGAAGTTACTTTTCAGGGTTACTGTGTTTGAAGCAGAAAGGAGTTGACACATTTCACATTTCATTTTGAAAACGTTTTTATGATTATCTACTTTACTTCAACTGAACTCAATAGTGGGCTTGCATGAGGTTAACATGTTAAGACCATTAGCCCAGTTCAATCTGTTAAACTGATGTCTTGGGTCAAACTAGTAAATTTGTACTATCCTATTTGACTCTATTGCAGTGCATCTTTCATTCCATCTCTTGAGGCTGATCAAGATTCTGGAAACACGTACACCGGAAAAAAAAAAACCCCCGTAATAATACAGTTAATAATTTTAACAGTAAAAGATTTACTGGAATGCTAAGGTAAAAAACTGTTAATTTGTTAACAATAAGTTTTCTTACTAATATATGGTGAAAAACTGTAATAAATCTAAAAGGACATTTTGTGTAATTTTACAAACTTTTAGAAGTGAAAAAGAAACAAGTCATCTTATTTTTAACTGAAAAACCGTAAATTGACATTGCCAGAAATCCCTTCATATTTGTTGGGTTTTAAATTACATCTTGTTAAATTATTGTTTATTGCATTATTTTAGTGCCATGAGTGTTACCATGATATTGTTTTGTAACTGTCCAAATAAAATCTGTAAGACCTAAAATGTTACTACTATATATACATTTGACAGTAAAGTAAATCAGTAATATATTTTATCTGTATTAACAATGTATTTTTGGCCTTTTTTAACCTGAGATTAAGAGTTTAAGATTGTAAAATCATGGATTGCTCATTACAAGGATTAAACTGGCAATTTTTGTTAATCATAATGCCACACCACCCCATTCTGTAGACATGAAAAGAAGCTATAGGTTTGAGAATAATGAGGGAGAAACAAACTGTTGATTACACATTCACACATGCTGCTGTGGGCATAGAGAGAGAGACTGACAGAAAGGGAAAAATCAAGGGCCACTCTGCTCTTTCTCTCTTTGAAATTCAATCAATTCGACCTTCTATTTAAGACTGGGTTGCATTACTTTAATCAACAACACATGGCACATGAATCTCAGATTCCCCACTCACCTATTTTACAGTGAACTGTCTCAGAAGTTATTTACCAAAAGTCTATACGGTTACTCTGACAGATGCCCTCATCATCACAGATATAATGGCACTTCCAACAACTTTTAATTTCTGAACAGGATCGATGAAACCCTCCTCCTTCTTTTAGGGCTTCCAGAGAATTTCCAGATCATTCCACACCCATTTCATGCTGTCTGGGTTTTTGATATCGGGTTAGTCTGAAGCTACTTATCTGGTGCATAAACCATGAACCAAACCAGTCCAGCCTTAGAAAATGTTTCCTGAGCATCTCTGATATGCCAGCCTTTCCTCTGCCTTATTCTGTTCAAAACCTTCACGTTTAGCATAAAGTTCTGCTCATTTGTCAGCAAACACCTCCACAGGTTAAAAAATTGATGTTTACTGCATTTACAAATCCTCCACTCAGTCTTTTTAATGGCACTCAATGAAATTATACCAACGCCTAAATATTCAACCATCTGCTACACGATTCTTGCAGTAGAGCTCTGCTTTTTTGGGTATCCACATTCAATTCACCTGTCGTTCTTTATTTGCTGCAGTACAGTGTTTGATCACTGCTTCATTTGTCTTTTCGATCTAATCTTTGTCTTTCTTTCAATTGTTGTCACGTATGATTAATTAACAAATTAAAGCTGTAATCATTGCGTAATTAAGAGGTCTGCTGTGCTCCATGAAGTAATTTAATCAAACCAAAACTTCACAAGCAACATTTGTCTTTCTATAGAGTTGTCTTCGATAAAACTGGAGGCAACCAAGACAGCAAGCTATTATGGTATGTTTGAAAGTTCCTGTTCAACTGTAGTATCTAGTTTGTGGTAGGTAAACCTCAGTGCATAAAGAGGAATTAATGGGAAAAACATCACAGACAATAAGTCAGTTGAACATATAGTATGTTTGGCTTTTACATGCGAATTGAAAACTCAAGGTTCATGCTTGATATGCACAACAGAATTGTCATAGCCCCATTTAATTAAAGAGCAGTGGTCTTAATTTAAAGAAGCATAAAATTAATCTAAGGTAAAATGACAATAGTGTAGTTATTAAACAACTGAAAGCAATCGGCACTGGAAACCCACTTGTGTGTACTTTTCAAACGATCGTTTTGTACTTTTTTAATTCCTGAAAAGATTGAGCGGAGGCAAGGTTGACCCTCATTTGGCGGCTGCTGTGTGTTTCAGTGGAGAGCTGTATTTTGCATAGACTCTGTGGGTGATCCGAGTCACATTTAAAGATAGTACGAGGTGAGTTTCTGAATTCAGTTGTGGTGTGTATGTGAAATAATAAGATGCTGCTACGGTGGACGAGACTGTTATACATACAACGGGAGAGAATATTGCATTTTCAAAGCTTCATCTGTCCCTGTGAATGTTTATTTTTCATGAACCAATGACGGATTCGGCATCCAGCTGTTTTACATCTACTTTTAATTCCTTTTGTAATACTTCCCTCTCGTAGAAATCCCATAAGTATCTTTTTGAAATGGAGACACACTAACACATGCATTTTCTCTCACACACACACTTGAGCAGACACAATACACACACAATATAAACAAGCAAGGATTACAATGAGAACAGAAAAGGCTGATGTTGTCTCATGACCACACTTTTTCCACCAGGCATTTCCCAAGAGATGTAAATTCCATCCTCTAATCTTATTTGTCATTGCATATTAGAGCCTTACTTGTGTTTACGAACCATATTCCTCTGCACTTGATACACAAGGCTAAGAGCTATGGAATCGAATCGGAGTGAAAGCCAATCCACGCTGGAGAAAACACCGTTTGGCCTGTTCGAGAAACGGGCTGAAGCACCTCCTCTAGTATCAAGAGGGGTAACAATATCCTTGCTAGAATGTAACTGTTTATCATGGGCTAATGTTCGGCAGGGGCTGCCAGAGCTGTGTGTGCTAAACAATGCACTCATTCAGGCCGTCGCGCATCTGCTAGTGATCTGGGACGGGACGTCGATACGCTCTCAAGGACAACGGCCTCTGGTCCGATCCAGAGGAGAGAGGAGGTCTTGTGCCATCCTACCCTACATGTGCCATGCTTGAGAGCCAATTCACCAGTGGGCAGGAGATGGAGAAAACGAGAAGGAGGGAAATGGGGAGTGATTTATTGAGGGTTAAACATACAGATTATTCTCTTTCTTAGAGAAAGACTTTGTAAAAGTAGTCTGTGCGACTTAGCTGCTCTGCTCTGCAGCTTAACAGTCCATTAACTCTTTCTGTCCAGACTTTTAGGCTTCATCTTCCTCACAGAACCCAAGGTTTGATTCACGGAGAGCAGCCTTAACTTAATACTGAAGTAAAAGTGATGAAGAGACTTACGATGTGATTTGTTTGTTGCAGGTGGACCTCTTAGTGCACTCCAAGATGTCCTCAAAGTGGTTCTTAACCAGTAGATTATGACCCCAATATGGGTTCAGTTCTTTTCTGATAGGGTTGAAGGATAGCAGGTGAAAAAAAAATTTAAAACTCATACAATCATGCGTAGATAGCAATATGAAAAGAAAATGCTTCCCATATATTTTGTTGTTGGTGTTCATGTATCAGTTAAAAAAAAATAATGATGATGATGATGATATTTTGCTGCAAATTCACCTGGGCTTGTTCCATGTTTTTACTTTATACAAATTCAACCACACTGAAAATTTGTAAGATTTACGTTGAAACAATTTTCACTCTGAAATTGCTAGCAAATTTCGCAAATGATTACAAAGAAAGGACAAATAACTCAATGATAAAACAAATTTAAGCTGAAAGACTTAAAAGAAAGCGTTTTCTTGTAAAACACTTTTACAGTGCATTTTCTGTCATTTATGGATTATGGATTTTCTGTTTGCTTATTGTCGGAACTATGTCAAAAATAGTCATCAAAAAATAATGTCTGATTTAAGATTTATTTTTCACTTATCTCATGCTTCAGTACAGATATGACACTTTTGTGTGTGTGAGAGAGAGACTGAAAAAATACCCCAGACAAGCTAAATTAAGAGAGCTTTTAGGGACATTTAAGTGGGACCACAGGGTGTAAGAAGTAATATACATCTCATCTCTTACTTGTAACACATTTGTTTTGCCCCTGTAAAGTCTTTGTCTGTCACTTACACACACCTTCAGAGTGGGTTTTAATTACCTGCAGATATCTGTCTCATAAACACTAACACCCATTATGATAATTCCACCCATTCAAAGATGTTTAATTAAAAGAAAATGATTAGGACCCCTTGGCTGTTTTATTTCCATTAACTGTCTTATATGTCAATATCAAGCACCCCCTGCGGAGCGCTGATAACGCGCGCGGGGTGAACGATAACACATCAGACAACGGCACCTATTCACTCCTATCGCGCGACAACCTCCGCCACGCGTGGAGTCCTGAGTGAAAACCGATCTGTGGAAAATTGGGGAGGAAATAGCCTTCCCGGGATCAGCGTGGCCGTATAGAATTACGGTGGAGGCCCCTCCCCCTGTCTGGCTCGCTCTTTTTTCTCAACCTCTCGGTTGGCTTTCCGAGAGGGCTTGATCCTGCTCACGCTCAGAGCGCTGAGAAATAGCAGGCAGAAGATGGCTGACTCTACCGGGCACGGTGAGCCCGCAGCAGCAGCAGCAGCATCAACTTCACTGGGGCTTCTCATGTGCCTGCCATTCGCTGCCACTCCGCAACTCTGAAACGGCCCCGCCTCGCTCCGTGCCGTGCGCCCGCGGGGTTTTACCCCCAAATATTGACAGAGATTTAAAGAAAACATGGCTGAGATGGAGAAAGAGGGAAGACCTCCGGAAAACAAGAGGAGCAGAAAGACAGCTCACCCCGTGAAGAGGGAAATTAACGCAGAGATGAAGGTAGGTTGTGCGTGCGCTCTCTCTCTCACTGGCGCCCATAAAGGCTTGTCATTTTTGGATGCGTTGAGCGCACCGCCGCTCCGCCCTCGGATTGAATATAGAGAACCGATTCATTCAAGCGCTGTGTGTTTGGGGTTAATCAGCTAACTTTGATTTTTTTTTTCTGGGTTGCAGAACAGGTCGGCATTATTTTCCTCCCGTTTCTTTTTTGAGCTTAATTCACACACCTTCCAAACCACTCTAGTCTTGCTTTCCATTGCTTGCGATGATCTATTTTGTTTATATTGCATTATGGATTTTATTTAAACACATTTTATGTGCTTTTCTATGTCATGTGCGCGTAAAGTATAAAATGTCCACAGTCACATCACGAGAAGGTTTATAATGAAATCCCCTTGCTGGCTCCACTGTAGTTGATGGAAAATCCAGTGCGTCAGTCTCCGCGTCAAACTGCTGCGTTACTACTACTACTAGCGCGTTACTATCACTCTGCTAAACAACACAAAAGCATGAGAACAGAGTAAAACTCAATAATGAAATAGGAAACATGTTGGAAGGGTGCAGCTGTTCTGATGGGAAGCGCTGGTCACTCCAGATGTTCATCTGTTCAACACTGACTGAGCTCTGTCTGCTCGTGACAAATGCACATTTAAAAAGCCTTTTGGGGTATATGCAATCATAGTTTGGTTCATTCAAGAACTAGGAGATTTTTTCACTTTTTTGTTCTGTTTGAGCAGAGCCGTGCGTTAGTATGTTTTGAAGGCGCACACAGGCGCTTTGTCTCCTGGTTTTGTGGTGCTCATTGTCTGAAGCGTTTGCATCAGCTGCCATGCAGCCTAATGTTTTGGAAACGCCAGAATTTATCTGTGCTCTTTATCTGATCAAGCTACATTCATTCTGATAGCACCATCGTGGTATACAGGGACGCATTTAATTAGTGTTATTAATAATTTGATAACGTGTTTCGGTCACTGTAAACGCGTGTGTGGCTTTGGTGAATTTGCTCCATTCGCTTTCTTTCTTGTCGGTGATTATTTGACGGAACCTGCGCGAGGCTCCCCGGTCCGCCGGGGCTCTAAATTTGACAGATATTGATCGACCTGTAGCGGAGATACACGCGTGCGTCTCCCCGGTCTCCTTAAACGCCACCGATCTTCCAGTTTGTCTCACACACACACACACACACACACACACACATAAGAGAGGGATGCAATGCTGCCCTTGCAGAAACTGACTTATTCCGTGTCTCACACACACACACACACACACACACACACACACACACACACACACACACACACACAGACATACAAGAGAGGGATGCAATGCTGCCCTTGCAGAAACTGACTTATTCCGGAGCTGTTACATGTGAGATGTGAATTATTGGGGGTTTGAGGGGCCAGAAACCTCTTAATTAGTCAGTCATTGTTTAAAAATAATGTGTCAGTTGTTATGTTGATTATTGTTAGTTATGTTTAGAATGATTTATTTACGATTATTATACATTTTTGAATTATGAATCTTGAAGTTTCATTCAGGTTATTCTGTTTGACTTCATCTAACCTTGCATTTTCATAAAAAAAATCATCAGGGTCTTTAGACTATAGAGGTCCTCACTGTGATATAATTTCCTGTTTATGTAAAATGAGAACAAAACAGCTGCATGCATGTTGGTTACATCACTGACTTTGACTTGGCTTACAATTTTTTTTAAATTAATACTTAATTAAAATAAAATGACTACTGTTTTTATAAAAATAATAATAAAAAAGAATGAAAATTTAGTTTCAAGAATGTCAGCCTTTTAATGACACCTTTTTCTTTTTTGCAGTCTCCTGATCATTACACCACTTAGATGTTTTTGAATATCAAATTTTAATTTTAATTTATAAACTGAAAATTTTTTCATAATCATCATCATCAAGTTATTTATTATCTGTGTGAATATTACTTGCAATTGTAATTAATTGTAAAAAAAAATGTAAAATGTAATAGATTTGGACAAAAAGAAAAAAAAAACTTGGTCCGTGAATAAGATTTCTTTTTATTTAATTTAAATTGTATTTTTTTTTGAGTGTTGAGGAGGTTTGCTGTTTCAATGAACTGAATTGAAAATACATCGCTGCCTATGTAACATGTTTACATTGTCTTTCACACGGCTGACCTTTCCTTTAATAAGGAATCAATTTTTGTACAGTCAGTTTTTGTCAGAAAGGGATTGGAACAAATACCTTGCTTCTCAAATGGTGTGACTCTTCCATTTGCTGAAATCATTTTTGCTTGTTTTCCGTTATGTTCTTTCCATTCACGTACTAAAAGTAGAACAAATAAAAACCTGTCAAAATCATTATCAAATATATTGGCAAAAAAATATTTAAATTATTATTTTTAAAATTATCAAAAATTGTCATTCTGTCCGCTTATGGAGACCTTGAGGACAAAACTCGACTCAAGCTGTAATATACCCATTTGGGTTACTAAATTGGAGATTCAAATATGGCAAGAATAAAGGTGGAGTTGGGCAGATGGAAGGATGCTGGAAAATTGTCACCTGAGTGAGGTAGACAGCGGCTTATAGAACTCAGTTTAAAGACTGTGGCTTATAGCAGCTTGTGCACTACTCATCTTTAATACATTGAATTTAGTGCACAATTCAGTGATTTCTCCCAAAACTTCAAATCTGTCACACACTTTCATCTTTGTTTTCTTCTGTAATTTACTATGCTCATCTCCAAAGGTCTGTGGTGAGTGTTGGCCTTGTCAGGGGTGTTGTGTGTACCAGTCAGGCACAAGTCTGTCATTTTATCCGTAGAGTTGTCATTTTTACCACAGGGCTGTGGATGAAGCTGATCTCTGCCTTGCTTTTGACAGAGAGAAAACACATTTAATCCACACAACTATTTTAGGGCAAACTCTCTTGACAGCATGCAACAGCAATTTACATATATATTAACATATAATACACCATAGTCATTGATAACATAGCCATACACTATATCAAAACACTGCTGGTGATCAGGCACCACCTTCTTTGGTAACATATACGAACATGCAAATACAATATCAAATTAGCTGAGCATGCTGGGTAATGGGTGGTACAATAGTTTACACATTTAAAACAAATGGATACTGTGGTATATCTTTTTTGTCATTTATAGTGTACAAGCTGGACTAAGGCATGGCATTTCACACTGATATATCAAATAACTGACAGAAGTTTAACCATAATTGCCTCAGCTATCCTGAAACACACAGGTGTTTTTCACAGACTACCAACCACAACGAACCTTCTCACCCTGCGATCAAATTCCAATAATGGCCCTTTATTTTAAGAGTCTATAATTCAAAATAGTGATCCAACAATATTGGTTTTTCAAAGATTAGTTCTTAAATTATTACGTTTGGTTTCCCTAATCCTGGATACGTGGTTACATCCATACAACAACATCCCATACATCTTCACCAGACACATGCAGGTGCCCTAGATACCCCATGCAGTTACCACAGACAGACCACAGACACGCCGCCACAGCTGAGGGCGGTGGTCCCATGCATATGCAAACGGCGCAGATGAACAATGTGCGCGTGTCACGCCCCACGCAACATGAAAAACAGGAAACAGCAAAGCCATGGAGACAAAACAAAACTTTTCCCCAAACATTTGCGTCAACAGACACAGATCAGGTTCTGTGGAATCAAAGCTAAATTTGATATGCGGTGTAGAGTAACCAGAGGAGGGTTTAGAGCAAGGGTCTGTTTGAGGGGTCTGAGATACATGCGCGAACAGGTGTCGGTAACAGAGTGAAAATCACAGCGAGGTTGAATACTTCCATCCCAGCTGTATTATCAAATGCGTCTGCCGGCTTTCACTCATTTTTCATTCTTAAACTCCGTGAGTTCATGCTTTCCACTGTGAGCAAAACTGTCACTAGTACCCTTTCAAAAGGTACTAATAGGTTCACTTTAGATACTAATATGTACCTTTAAGCTACTAATATGTACCATTTAGGAGTAAATAAGGTACCTATTAGCTGTCACCCCAGTGACAGATTTGTACCTTTTTTTCCTGAAAGTATGTATAAATTTAGGAAGTCCAGTTGCTTGTTCTTTTTAAGGTGAAGGAAAATTCTTTTCTCACAGTCACTTCCTGTTTGAGGGTCTGTACCTATGTAAAAAAAACTCCCAACATGCAGAAACAAAGCATACTGTAACACATAAAGAGCGTGTGTGTATAAATACAATCTGCGTTTTACTCTGCACTTCTCTCTTATTGCCTCAGTGAGAACTTGAGACCTGAGCATTATGAATTTCTCCCTCTCACGTATCAGATTTCCACCAACACACACACACACACACACACACACACACACCCAGCCTATGAGGAGTCCCTCGCTTTAGTGCTGTTTAAAACAAATCTTTGTTTAATTTTGCTCTTACTTACAAGAAATGAGACAAAGGAAAAAAGGCAAAAAGAAAGAACCAGAGAGATACGGTAAATTGTACACAATGTGGCCTTGTGGAGGATTATACCTCTGAGAGAGATACACAGAAGAGACGTCTGACAGTGTTGGCTTCATCTCCGTCTGCTTTCATGTGTAGCATGGTAAAATAAGCCCCGTGTTGGTGATTGCCCCGACGGAGAGGGGGGTGAGAGAGAGGGAGAGGAGAAAGGAATGTATACAGCAATAGGCAGCCTAAGCTGTAAAAACTGAAAGCTGAGAATACAGGCCGGATCGGATATCAAGGAAGGTAGATGGAAATGAAAGCAGAGCATAGTGGTGGTAGTGGGGGGAGAAAGAAAGAGAGAGAGTATGGAAAAGAGAAAAAGAAAGTGATATTCAGTATGAGAGAGGGACAAGTGAAAAAAGCAAGAAGGGAATGGAAAAGTGTGGGTTGGGAGGAGAGGAGAGAGAGAGAGAGTGAGCGAGATGAGGAAAGAGCAGTTGGTCATGTTGAAGGGAGGAGGGAATTTTATCATGGTGTACAGTGACCTACTCTTGTTACCATGCGCAGGGTGTCCGATTCCCCCCGCCGTCACAATCACGGCGAACAGAGAGGGAATGAGATTTGCTGCTTCATATCTTGTAACTTTTCTCACTGATTTTTCAGTCTAGCATGAAAAGCATTCTCTCCAAACATTACCGATTTCATTTAGTCTCTATAAGGGAGGAAGCACAGTATTTTTCTCTCTCTATCTGTTTTTTTTTTCATAGTGATTTTTTGGTTTTATCAGAGCGGGTGTAATTACCGGGCGGCCTTCAGAGGGGAGGAGTGCAGGGAATTTCAGATTGCAATTATGTGTATGGAGTAACATTTAGTGCAGAATCCAGAGCCTTTGACAGAACTCAAGCTGATCTGCAGCACTAAAGACTAACTCACAGCAGTGATGCACATGAGGATGTATGTTTTAAACTGTCAGTTTTCCTCTGTGCTTTGTAACAGTGTTTTCTAAACTTGTTTTGTAATGGTTACATGTGCATGCAGTTTGATCGGATAAAATAAAAAAACACATTCATTATAGTAAAAGATAGAATAGAGTAGCGTTAAACCTTTTATTTCACTTTAATAGCTTTTTCTCAATTTTTAAAAGTGTTTAAATCAGAGATGCCTAAACTAGGGCCTGAAAGCTAAAGTTGTCCCATGATGACCTTTGAATTGGCCTGCCATGCAACATCAGGAAAAAATAAGGGGGGAAAAACATGAAGCTTGTTCATTTCATTCTTTGTTTTATTTTTAAATATAAACAACAATATAAACAAATTTGTATAAAATAATTTGGGGAAAAAAATCAATTTAATACATTTTAATTTAATATAGTTAAAAATAATACAACATTTACTTTTGGCCCCTCAATCAAGTTTGATTTTTTGCCCTTTATATTTAAAAGTTTGAGCACTGGGCACCCTGTTTTTAATGAGAATATTTTCCTCCCTTTTGACAATAATTTTAACTCCCTTTCTATAATAAATGTATAAAAATAGTTTAAATACATTTGTATTTTTTAATAATAAAGAATCACTGTCCCCAAGCTAAATGTGACCTTACCTTTGACCCTTTGCTGAGTATGTGTGACCCCTTGTTAACACTGTAAGTCAGGTGAGCCCTCTTGAGAAACTGTTGAACCCCTCTAAACTCAGCTCAGCTGGTGTTCCCAGACAATCAGAACTCTAGAAGTGCCCAAAAACTCTTCAGAGCGGAGCTCAGGTGATTCTAGATTGAGCCGTGCTGTGCTGATACAGTCTAGTAGGGTTTCCTGTGGACAGGGTGTGATTACTGCATTGTGACTGACCTTGTGAACTCAATCCTAAAACAGACGCCTCACCTTACAGACCAGAGGCAGGACAGACACCTGGTGGCCATACAGCAGAAGTGCAGGGAAGGAGTGGAGAAGGGCTGTTCATCAGTTTGTACTGTAAATCGTACATGTGTGCTTTTAAATATGTTGTACAACGATCCAATAGTTATGAAACATTATATTAAATTATAACATATGATATTACATTAGAGTGAATCCCTCATTTAGCGTTTTTAGATTACATGTCTATGTGTGTTCATAAAAGCAGTGCTAGTGTACACTGGTGAGTAAATACAAACCACATTAACTGAGTATGTATATATCCCAACAACAGTATGCTGCTTGATAGTTAATGCGATTGACTGACAGTTTCTGTGTTTGATTGACAGTTGTTGACTCGTGTCTCATCAGGTCCCGTCCAATCGGCCCCTCCCAGGGGCGGGGCAGGCAGGCAATCTCCATGGCAACTCGCCCTACTTGATGGTGAGAGCCTCCCTCAGACTGACTAAAACAGAAAAAAGTGACAAAAATAAAAAATACATATACAGAAATAAATATCTGAATGTTTAGATGCTCCCTTATGTCTTATGAACCCATTTTAAAACAGGTGGGAAAAATAATGAATAATAATTGAAAGGGATAGTTCACCCAAAAAAGAAAATTCTGTCATCAATTACTCGCCCTCATGTCGTTTCAAACCCGTAAGACTTTCGTTCATCTTCGGAACACAAATTAAGATATTTTTGATGGAATCTGAGAGCTGTCTGACCCTCCATAGACAGCACTGAAATGTTCCCAAGTCCAGAAACGTAGCAAGGAGATCTGTAAAATAATCCATGTGATATCAGTGGTTCAACCGCAATTTTACGAAGCTACGAGAATACTTTTTGTGCGCAAAAGAAAAAAAAACGACTTTATTCAACAAATCGTCTCCCCTGCATCACCCTGTAGTGCCATTTTGGAGAGTATCTGCTGGACGTAAACAGTGTATTCTGTTCTGTGTCAGCTGCGTCACGCCGGTTCTGTTTCCTACATTGTTGTGATTTGATCTGAACGGAAACAGCGTATCCACGTGACGCAGCTGACACAGAACAGCATACGCTGTTTACGTCCAGCTGATACTCTCCAAAATGGCACCAGGGTGATGCAGAGGAGACGAATTGTTGAATAAAGTCGTTTTTTTTTTTTTCGCACAAAAAGTATTCTTGTAGCGTCGTATAATTACGGTTGAACCACTGATGTCACATGGATTATTTTACCGATCTCCTTGCTACGTTTCTGGACTTGGGAACATTTCAGTTGTGTTGCTGTCTATGCAGGGTCAGACAGCTCTCAGATTCCATCAAAAATATCTTAATTTGTGTTCTGAAGATGAACGAAGGTCTTACGGGTTTGAAACGACATGAGGGTGAGTAATTAATGACATAATTTTAATTTTTGGGTGAACTAACCCTTTAATATTTATGTATTACATTTTTTTTTTAATTAATGTAACTTACTTTTTATTTAAATGTATATATTCAATATAATTTTATAATATAATTTGATTTATACTTACTCTATATATTAAACTGTGCTCTACATATAAGCAGGTTTTTATTCATTAAGCAAACATCTACTAATATATTTGACAAGTATAACTGCTCTTTTGAGGTAATGTTTAAATATTAGTCAGCAGATGCAGGGTAAATGGGTATTAAAATCTGAAAGTATGATGTTTTTTGTCTAGTAGGTTAAAGCTGCATGGATTCTGCTGTGGTCCGGTCAGCTCTGATTTGTTAATAATGCTTCTTCCTCTTCTATTCTCCGGTTGTCTGGCTTAGTGTTGTTTGCTTAGTTAGATGTTTGTTTGATGCCCTGGTCAGTCTATAGCCTCTCCAGATTTCTTTCTTAAAGGGATATGGAGCTGAAACATTTGAAGCTATTTTCAGTCAGATTTGGTCTATCGATGAGCTAGTGGATTTCTTGGATGAAACTACTTTTGGCCTTGGTTCACAGTAGCCATGCAAACATAAGATTCCCTGTGGAGATTTTGTTTATCCGCATTGCAAAATCTGCCACTCAGAGGATTTTACATCGATTGTCTCAGCGCAGTACACCTCCCAAACAGACTGCAATTATTCACTCTTTCAGATTCCCTCTGTGTGTGTGTGTGTGTGTGTAGGCCTTTTCTGTAAGAACGCATTATGAAATGAATAATTCTGTAATCAAAAAATAGGTTTTAGTAGAATTTAGCTGATACGTGAGCGTTGTCTGTTGATTCCTTACAACTTACAATAAAAAACAACTTCTAAAAAGTAAAGTTGCATTTTAAATTGTTCTCTCTTTTGCTCTCTCTCTGTAGAGTTTTGCCGAAAACACCATGAATGAGTTGCTTGGATGGTACGGATATGACAAAGTGGAGTTACGAGACTCAGATGACATAGAGATCCGCAACTACCCTGATGGAGAAATGCGGCAACACATCTCTGTCCTGAAAGGTGAGATCTGACACAAATACAGAAGTCAAAAGTGACAGTAAGGACATTTATAATGTTACAGATGATTTCTATTTCAAACAAATGCTGTTCTTTTTCATTTTCTATCCATTAAAATAATCCTAAAAAATGTATCATGGTTTCCACAAAAATATTAAGCATCACAAAAGTTTTCAACATTGATATCAATAGGTAGTATTTCTTGAGCACCAAAACAGCATATTAGAATGATCTTATTTCTGAAGGATCATGTGGCATTGAAGAGTGCTTAAAAATTCAGCTTTGCCACCATTAATCATTAAAATATGTAATCATTAATTATTAAAATATATTAAAATAGAAAACAGTTATTTTAAATTGTAATAATGTTTCACAGTATTTCCGTTTTTACTGTATTTTTGATCAAATAAATGCAGCTTTGGTGAGCATAAGTTAAAAAAAAAAGCACTACTTTTTTACTTTTTAAGCACTACTTAAAAAAATTTTTTACCGACCCCAAACTTTTGAGCGATAGTGTAATTTTGATTAGCTTTCTAGACAAGATTATTTGGGTACCTGAACTCTCTTATTTCTTTGCAACCCAGAGCTCTGCTCACACTTAAAATTTAAATTCAGAGACAGTTTCAGTATCTAACTATACCTTCTGGACCCTCTGAACACTTGACACTAATATGCATAACTTGCATAAATTTTTTATCATATTATCATCCCTTAATTCCCCATAGGTTCTTTGTAGCAGGTTAATTTCACAAACCTGTTTGCCACCAGAAAGAGCCTAGAGGGCATTCTGGCGCGGAAATAAGACACAAAATCCTGACAAGGACAGGAACGAAAACAAGGACTGTCAGATTTTAAATGTTGTTAAAAAGAGAATGCACCGTTAAATTCCTGAACTTCCTCCGTCATTCCCCCGAGAGCACTCCGATAAACCCACAGCTTTATCTTTGCACCCTTCATGCTGTCTCCTGGCTGGCCTCTGTGCCAGAGCATTAGAGAGTCTTAAACTGTCAGACATTTTTTCTGCGGCCCTGTGGGGACAGAGAAAGAGATGCCGAAACAATGAGCTGGCTAATTCCTTGCTAAATCCATACTCCAGCCTCCATTAAAGAAAATGGTGATTTAGGCATTAGATGGTTCCCGGCTAGCGCCACATTTCTCCAAGCTACCACGCCTGCCATGTGACACTCGCCGTAATTACTTTCTGCCGTCAGACAAATCCACAGCCGCAGATTACGATATTTCACTATTGTTAGTTGACGTTGCTGGAAGTGGAGAGATTAGGCGAAGGACAATCAGACTTAATTAACTCGTTTAGCAGTGATCGTCTCTAAACGAGCATGCCGTTAGAGTTACAAATGGGCTTTTCTGCTATCTACCAGTAATCTGTTTGGGTGCCCTTGTTGAATCTTGTCTTATTTGCTGCAGGTGGAGGTGTGTATGTGTAGTGTGGGAATGTCTTCTCTAGACTTTGTAAGAGCTATTTTAATCAGTTTTGTGTCATTTTACAAGACAAAACAGTAACGTGATGTGTGCGTTTGAGAGATTGCTAGAGTCTCAGGGCCCCACAGTTGTGAATGACTTGTGAATTTAAAAAAATAATACACCGATCCTGAAGAAAATATGTTCAGTTGTGTTTGAACAATTCCTAATGCAGTAAAAACTGAATACGCATACCGAGTCTCACAACCTATTTTACTTTCGTAATGTGGTATTTCCTAGTAAAACAGTACATGAATCAGGAAAAAGTACTACTACTACTACTAATAATAATAATAATATCACTTCTTGATTTTATCCATTATAAAATTATTGGATAGTGATAAGTGGGTGTTACATTATGAATCAGAATAGAGCCAGACCTGAATGTGAGATTGTTAAAACAGTGACCAAACAACTATATGGTTTTTGTCAATGCAAAAAAAAAATGGTTTCAGAGGAAGAGCAAGTTATTTTGATTAAAGTTTATGTTTTTTGTTTTTTTGAAATTTGAAATAGCATGTTTTTTCTCTCATTAAATGCATTGAGAATGTAAACAGGGTCAGTTATGATTTCATATTGACTACAATCGCCATGACAGTCAAACCCACCAATGACATTTCCCACAGCAAATATAGATACTACGAACCTTATGTATTTCACACTGTGACTGATTTGTGAAACATAAACGACTCGCCATTACCTCTCTCCTCTCTAGAGAACTCTTTGCCAAAAGCATCCACAGTGGAGAACAGCAGTGGTTCTCCTCCACACGCCAACAGCTCTGGCTCTACTCCGACATCACGGAATGGAGTAACGGCCGAGGCGTCTGCAAACCCCTCCTCCTCTAAGGAGCACGGAGGCCTGCCAATCATAGTGCCCTTAATCCCGCCCCCTCTGATCAAAGCACCAGCAGGTAAGAAACACAAGCGGCACAAGCATGCATTTGAGTATCTAACTTACAAGCGCACATTTAACTGAACAAAATATGTGTATTGTATTTGTTCCTGATAGCTTACACAAACAGGGTTTTCATATTTGTAATTCCAGGCTACATACTTCATCCGTCAAGTGTTGAGATTTCACACTGTAACTTTATGAACTGTGTGTTACTGTTCTTATTTGCATATTTATCAGACTGGTAACATTAATTTAATAATTGCTTGACCATTTGTGGTCACTGTAGGGTTAGGGTTCTTTTAAACCAAACAATGAAGCAGTACTGTCCCTCTGTCACTTTTAACGCATTGTCGATATTTGAACCATTTCCCTCAGATGCTGAAGCTAAACATGTGACTCTTGTAAACATGTGAAGTTTCTGCGACTATGCAAATATCATTGAAACATTAGTGTTTATAAAACCGCTTGAATCTATGCCGCCGCTACTGAATCGCTAAGAGCTGAGACAAAAAAGCTGTGAATGTGAGTTTGCTGTCAAAATTAAATTTGAGATAAAAATCTGCCATATATTGCCATATGATTATAGCAAGAAAACACACATTGATATGTCTGCTGGTTGAGCACAAAACTAGTGTATCACAAAAACTAAATGACTTGTGTATTCTGTGCATGCCGATTCACAAATAACTCTTATAATTCTTTAAATGAATCGTTCAAAAATACTTGGGCTGCATCTGAATATGTATACTTCCCAATAAAACAGTATATGAAAAGAGAAGTATGTCCAAATTCATAGTACTCATAAAGCAAAAAAGTACCCCAAAGACCTACTACTTTTGGCAAGATTACCATGAAGCCACAGGTGAGGATTTGTGAATCACAGTGAAGGTTACATGACAAAAGTAATGCAAAGTAATTACTTTTTTTTTTTTTTTTAAGTACCTACTCAGAGAAAATGAGATTTCAGACTTTGCCTGTATTTACAGCTTGAATCAATCTGGCGAATCTTTCATTGATTAACTCACTGAATCATTCAGAGTCGTTACTTCAACATAACACTCACTTACAGAACCAAAAGTTATCATTACTCTCAGCGATGTCTGTCTTGAAATAAAGCATATTTTGTGTACATAAGGTTTGTGAAACAAGCTTTAATAATTTTAGCTTTAATCAATTTAATAGTATACAGTATTTCAATATGATATTTAATATAAAAATGTCCTTAATCATAAATGTAAATAAAATGCAGCTGAGCTTGCATTTTGACACTGAGTCCACTCACATTGTTGTAGCGCAGCAGACCAAAGTCATGGTGTCTGATGGGACGGCACCATGGTGAGGTGCATCTCTAAACCAGTGTTCTGTGCGCTGGTGTGTTCGTGTGCATGTGTCTATGTATGTGCGCTTGTATTTATGTGTGCGTTAATGTGTGTGATGTGGTGAGAAACAGATGGTGTAGACTCGCTAACTACCACAGCAACAGAAGCCAACTCCCCCCTCCCTATCCCCGCCCCTAGCCTGTGGCCCTCTTGAATAATTCATGAGCATGCGCATAGTGACAGAGGGCTTTTGAAGTGCAGGTATGTACTGCTCTACCACCGGATGTTCCACAAACACACACACACACATTTGAACGATCCCTCTTAAATTCAGGATTCGGATGGAGCAATGAGGCTGTGCTGAGGAAAAACAAACAGAATTCCCATGGCAACCGTTTTATATTCGAATGTTTGTATTTTGAGGGTTGTAGAGGAACACTTTGAGTCTTTGTTGCTCTGTATGATGCAATTTGTTAGGCAAGCTCTTTTTATATCTTTATATACTTAATCTTTTTATGTACTTTTTCCAGCCTGCTGAATCTAAAGTCATCTTTACAGGATGTAAGGCTGTTCTGTCTCTGCCCAAAATTAAGTGTAAAGACCCAATGCCACATGAAAAATGACTAAATTATGCCTGCTCTGACCCACCTCAGCTCCTAGTATCAAAGTATAGAGTTGTAATTTAAGTGCAAATGCATGTGTCAGCACTGAGCAGCATTAAACAGTCTGTGTAAAGACACCTAAATGCCACTTCTTTGCCACCTTTGCTGTGTAAACTAAGCATAAGTTTAAAAAAAAAAAAAATATATATATATATATATATATGTATATATATATATTTTTTTTAACCTTGAATATGGTATGGTTTGAGAATTATGATGGAATAGTTCACACAAAAATTTATATTTTATGATGTTTCATTTCCAGGTTCCAGGTAAAAATGACTTTTTCTTTTTGGAACACAAAAGGAGATATTTTGTAGAATGTCCTGGCAGCTCTTTTCCATACAATTAAGGTAAAAGGGGTAAGGATGACCATCAAGCTCCAAACATATCAAAAATGCACTAACTTTAAAAAAAATTACTCTTTTTGTATTTGGTGGAAGAAAATAAATGAGTCTGGAATGACACAAGTGTACGTAAATTATTACAGAATGTTCATTTTTGAGTGTGTTATTCCTTTTAAATCATAAATGACTTCTTGTACGTTTTAAGCAGGAAGTTTGCTGAAGTCTCAAATAGGTCTCCTCGTCCCCAGTTCATGCCATTGGTTAAGCTAATTAGGAAGCTTAACCAGATTGTACTTTTTTTTTTTTTTGCAGTTAGGAGTGTAAAAATTACTAAGAAAAAACTATGCTTGATTTTGGGTTCTTTCCTCTGATCTCATCTCCTTGTTCTGATTAGTTTGATTTGATTGGTCAGAAGTGGAGTTGATTATTGAAGTATGTTGTATGTTTAGCCTATGGAGACATGTTTAACATAATTCTGAATTGATTTCTATCTTAAAATATAACTTGCTCATTACAAAATAGAGGAGAAACAGGGGGGGGGAGGTTAAGTCTAATGGGCAGACATTTTCTCTCCACACACTCAGATTTATCTGATCATTAAGCAGCTGCTAGAGGGTGAGAGTGTAAAAGATCTCTGAGGAGAAACTATTTGACATGGGCAGATGCATTAAAATGATCACATACTAAATTTGATGTAGGGAGTCCCATCTTACAAAATTCAACATTATGAAAACACCAAAAATGTTTTCTGTTTTCTGTTGTGGCAGTGTCAATTGCATTTGAATCAATTGGCTCGGTGTGTGTCTTTGTGGCCCCTAGAAGCTTGCTCACCCCCTTTCCCAAACACACTCACATATGCTCGCACTTCAAACACCCAAACCCGAACACTTGTGCCCGCAAGCTTCTAGTTGTTAGTGGAGCATGATGGGAAAGATCTAATATCATGCGGCATGCGCTGTGATGTAGGCAGATTGACTGACGCACCCACACAAGAAAAATACAAATGTATATAGTCTTGATGTGTGTGGGGTGATGCATGATGACAGGTTTCCCTTAACCCCTTTTGGGCTGGTGAGGGAAAGATTGCCTTTGGTGTACAAACACCCAGAGAATATGTGTTTGTGCATTGTATACTGTCTGTCTATAATATGTTGGTGGTGGATGAATCAGTGAGGAAAAATAAATTGTTGAGAATATTATCTGGTATATGACGTCTGGTATATGAGTATGAATTGCAAAGGCACTTTAGTCTATCCTTCTTCTTGCTAATAACAATAAAATAAAATAAAAGCAATGCTTGTATATGTGTGTTTATGTTTATGTACTTGAATTTATGGTAAATGTAGTCTCAGTAATATGAAGAAAAACAACAATGGTTTATTTTTCAAAAAGTTGACTGAATAGATCCTTCTACATTCTTTCTCTTTTTCTCTCTTTCTCAGAGGAGGACACCTCTAATGTTCAGATAATGTGTGCGTGGTGTCAGAAGGTGGGAGTGAAGCGTTATTCTCTCAGTATGGGCTCTGAACTGAAGAGTTTCTGTAGTGAGAAATGCTTCGCTGCCTGTCGCCGTGCCTACTTCAAACGCAACAAGGTAAATGCCCAGTCTCCGCCTCTTCCTGTCCCCTCAGCCAATCAGGCTCCTTCTGTCTGAAGTCACTTCTTCTGTTCTGCCCTAACCTTCATTGTTACTAAATTCTCTGGCTCAAAACTTTAAATGATTCTTACTCTGTTAGATAAGACATTATAATACTTTTTTTTTCTTTAAAATTTTTAATACATTTCAGACAGAGACAGGTTTAAAAAGAAGCAGGTATATATAGTAACTCTTCAAGTCATTTCCCCATAAACAGCAGTCTATTTCTAGAGTCTTTATTAGGTTATTGTTTTTAATCAACTTAAACAATAATACATTTTTAATTGTCATCCATTGTTGTTTTTGTACTTCACTGATATTTTTGAACATGGTCGGTTCACAAAGACAAGCTGATGGCATGAGTCATTTCTACTATGCAATACATTATAACTGGATAAAATATTAAACTCACTATTTTAAGGATGGGGGTAATGTTGGTTAGTTTTCTTTTAACATATATCACTTTACATCATTTTTGTTTTTTATATTATTTACAGAATATATATATATATTTTTTTTACTAAAATACGATAATTTTGGTAAAAATGGATTTCATGGCAGTGGATTAGATCATCTCTGTGATGTTTTGCGGCATTAGATGGTTTCTCTGTTTGATAATATTACAGAAATGATAAACTAACTCACTGAGCGATTTCTAGCTTTTGCTCAATCCTTTAACTTTGTTTCCATCCTGTTTATTTTCTTGCAATTATGTAAATAATTGATTGTGCCTGAGATTTACCAGAGCATATCTCTGAAAGTCTATTTTCCCCTTTTAAAGAGATATTTCCTTAAAATACAACACAATAATTAGTTTTATTTTATTACAGAGCTCAAAAAGTACAGCACAGTACAGCATAACAGCAGTGAACCTCATTTAGATTTAGACCTCATGCCATCAGAGTGGGACAGATATTGATTGTGTGTTTTCTCTTCTATCTAAGCTTGGATATGTGAGGAATTGCAGTGTAAGTATCTTGTGTTTGGATTTCTCCTCTCCTCGTGTGTGTTAGAGACTCTCTTGCACACTTATTCACACACTGATGGAACTCATAATATCATGGACGCATGCAAACACACTCTTAGGCACATACACATGCATACAAAAGCACACACACCCGCATACACACAAATACACCATCACACATGCATTTGTTCACACACAAGAGTCTCACATGCATGCGTACACACTCCCACATGCATGCATGTTTGTTCACAGCCACCCCTTGCTTAGTGTGTGGTGTGTTTGAAGACAGAGTGGACAGCATGAACAGACCAACGAACATGCAAACATGAGCTTTACTGGCACTACCACACACACGCATAGAAACCTAAATGCATAGTAATCTCTGTGTCACACACACAAAAACATATGGATACACAAAACAGACGTTTGTATAAATCTCATAAATTGTTGAGCAGTGTATGCTCAGGGGCAGAGTTCATATATCTGCATAAAATGTGTAAAAAATACATACTTTAGTATTTTTTTCTCTGCTGTAGAAATCATAGACCTTATCTATAAAAGGTTGTAACTTGTACAGGTCATAGATATATAGATATATATTATTCACATAGCTGAATACAAAACATGTTTTTTATGGAACTAGAATAAAGAACAAGCATTTATATGTACATGTGCATATATATTTTGATACTGAAAATACCTACTTTTTAAAAGAAAGAAATTCAAGAAATAAATCAGTCAGAAAATGAGAGAGAGACATACAGTGGTTAAAAGGTGTAGGCAAAAACATGTAGTCAGAAAAATGAACCCCTCCACACAAATACAAAATCACTTTTAATTCCATGACAGTGAATTCACAACTGTTAAGAACTGGCTATATTCATATTTTTGGGTTATATTTCACCCCAAATTCAAAAATAAACAAACAAATAAAATATAGGCAATTACAACAAAAAAAAAATAAATAAATAAATAAATATATATATATATATTGGTGAAAAATTAATGGTTCTAAAAATGAATCCTATTTTATTTACTCATTCATTTTGCATTGTGACATTTCATGACAGTTGAACATTAATTAAGCACCCCAATTTTGATTACTATAGTGAAAAAATTCTCATACTCATTTCTGTTTGGAAAAAAAACAACAACACAATGATGCATTATTTAAACTATACAGTATTTATACATCATTGTAATATTTATTATATCTGCTGATTTATGCTGAAAATTTATGCTGATAAAAAAAACCCATTGCACTACAGTAATGAGAATCTAATAAAATACCTGGACATAATAGTAATGAGATTTTTGTGGGTAAAATCTGCTAACATATAATGAAAAAAATCAGTATGCAAACATATTTTATATAATATAAAATATTATATATATAATATAATATATAACATATATAATAATATATAAATACTTTAGTTTTAATTTCTTTCTTTTTATCTTTTGAATTTGGGGTGGAATGTGGCCTGGACAGATTCTCTTTTTGTGCAATGTAGATTAAGTTATCGGAGGAATGGCCTGGACATGTTTTTGTGAGATTTACTCGAACATTGATTTAACCCTGTGAAGTTCACAAAAGAGCGTAAGGGTCTGTTGTGCGTTTGCAGTCTAATTTCCATTGTCCATGTTTTTATTATAAAAATGTTATTAGAATTATGCTCAGTGAAAATTGAGCAATTCGCAATTATGCTAAATCCAGATTTTCATAATTGTTTTACTCGTGTATAATAAAGAGAACAGTGTGTGCTGAGTGACATCATCTGATATGCGGTCAGTGTAGTTTGTGATTATTATAGTGTAAACTGTGAGGTCGTTTTGGCACGTCTGTAGACGTTTGGATGCTGTATCTGGTTCTCTGAGGAGACACGTCTGTGGAATGCCAAACGAACGTCTGGCAGAAGCATGTTCATTTAATCCCACCAATCATAGAGCTGTTTACTTCACTCCTTTGACGATTCTCCTGGCGTTCTGCCACCACTGCGACTCCACCTTTATTTCTATAATTCATTAGGATGGGGAAACTCTATTACGCTCTAATATTATATGAACATTTTCTCTTTCAATTTTGTCATGTACACCACAAGGTCAGCTGCAAAGATAAGCAGTATTGTGTTTGTGTGTGTGAAATAAGACACTGGGAGGGGCGGTGGGTCTGGTTGCGGTCTGGTGTTACTGCAGTAAATACCTGCAGCTGCTACATCTGCAAAACTCAAAACGGAAAAAGAGAAAGCATACACACGCATACGTATCTCTATCATCTCACCGGCCCACCTTGGGTAGTAAAATATCCTCACACCAGCTGCTTCAGGTGATTATAATTCCTCCCTATTAATGGCGTGTGTGTGTGTGTGTGTGTGTTTGTTTGTGTGTGAATAAGGAGTGTCCTCCTCAGAGAAAATGTGGTAAACCTCTGTCAGACACGCACGCACACACACACACAGTATTGTTACTGTATTGTGTTTATTGTGTCAGACGGTGGGCTCGTTTTACAGTGTCCAAATCCTCAGATTTGCATGTGTGTGTGTGTGTGTAGGTGCTGAGCTAATGAATTTTGACAAGATATTTTTAGTCTCATGAAACCTTAGAGTAACTGAATATTTGGAATACAGAGAAGTGTGCCCATATATGGTGATTTGTTCTGGACTGAGGTGAATAGGACTGAAATGTATTTGTGATGAACAAGGCTGAATAAGTACAATGAACTGGGGTCAGTCTAACTCGGTTACAGTGAGAGTTTGTTGTAGTGTAGCTATTGTGGCAAATTGTATCATGAAAACAGTTATCAAAAGAACATATCAAAGACTATGGCATAGAAAGTGTTAATGTCAGGCATCACTATCAAAAAAGTAGTGGCATAAAGTATAAAGAAGTTCCATATTGTGTTCTTTTGTCATGTACACTTTTGGGCATGGGAATTCTTATTACAGTTTTTCTGAGCTTTGGCTCAATTCTAGAATGAGATTTTTGTCTTAAAATGGAAAGGTCTTTGATCACTTAGTTTCTTGTTCACACTAGATTAGAATTTTTTATTCATTTATTCATTTTAAAAATGGGATGTGTGCAAATAAAATTACATTAACACTGCACAATCAATTGCATTGTAAAGTTTATAGAATATGTAAAAAAAATAAATTAAAAAAAAGATCCAAAGTGATTGAAGGAACACATGCTGCTGAATATTTTTAATTAATTTTTAATTAAAGTTTTTTTCCAGGATTTTTTTTGATGAATAGAAAGTTTAGAAAGACATTATATTATCACAAACAAACAATAGATACATTTTCTGATTATTATTATAAGCAATTCATTTACTTATTGAACAGTGGTGTCTTTTGTCATATTGCTATAGCCTTTCTTTTATAAAAAACAATAAGCAGCTTTAAAGTAAATTTACCATATAAGAAATGTTTACCCTTAGTAAAATTGCAGGATGGCCTCGAGTTGCTAATTGCTTTAGTACAATAATAATGGTAATCATTAGGTAACTTGATATACATCACAATACATGGTATTATCATTGCTGCATACATTACCAATGTTCTCAAAAGTGTCAAAATGAATTAAACAAAAATGTTTGCGTGAAAGAGAAAGAAAGAGACATTGAAGAAAATGTGTACAAATTAACCTCAGTCTTGGACACCTGGGAAAAGCAACCCTTTTTTAACAGCCAAGCAGATGGACTCACAGACAGACAGTCAGACCGGTTGTGCTTCATGCCATAAAAATGGAATGAAACAGAATTAAATGCAACTCTGCCAATAAGAGCAAGAAAAAAGAGGAGTGTAGACTGAATGGCCATATGCTGTGAGTGTGTGTGTGTGTGTGTGTGTGTGTGTGTGTGTGTGTGAATGTTCTTCAGTATTTTGGGGTGAATCAGCATGATGTTCAGTGATGTTCAGCTCAGATGAAGCGAGAACAAAACATTGGGAATATGAAAGACAGAAAGATAGTACAAGCTGAAGAAGCATAGTAAAGCCTGAAATCACTTCCAGGACATTGTGGGGACAGTCAGTGGTCAGCAACTGACTAAACATACTAAGGCCCAATCCCAATTCTATTTCATACCCCTTCCCCTCCCCCTCCGCCTACCCCTTCCCCTTGGTAGGGGTGAAAATATTCCCCTAAGAATTGGGACACCACTACTATACGTCACA